TTTTTCCTTCTTGCCCTCATTAAAATCAATTATTTTTTAAAAGAGCTCTGCCATCTCCACATCTAATTACAAGTGGGGCTTACTTCTAAGTAAACATGTAAAGAATTGCATTGCAGAGCTTCTCACATAGCCTTGCTGTGTGAATATTGCTGCTGAACAATAAGCACTTGCCTTCTGAAATTTGTGCACATGTTCTTCATATGAAGAGGGCACTAATGTAGGATATAAACCCACAAAAATAGCTTAAATATGGCAAATAAATTAGATAGATACATCCTGGCATTCCTGCTGCTTTCATGTAGTTTCTACAATTTTTGTCAGGGCTATTATCTGTTCTCCATCCCTGCTGAGTGGATCCTTTGGTTCTATTTTGTGGGATTCTGTATCAGCTGCTGATTACTGTTCTGCTTTAATAGGTTCTGAATTAAGGTGTATTATAGCTTCTCTTTTTATGATGAGACATTAATTGGCTTATGTTTTAGAAGTTTGTTAGTTCTTTCAAATAGGCTTCAACCACCTTGAGTCGGATGAGACGTGGGCTAGAATAGTTTTAAAATTAACAATAAACATATCTTCCTGGTGCAATGTAGCAAATCTATGACAAAATGTTACTGTTAATAACGATGTTCTTTACTCCCACACACCCTTCTTTTTACTCTCAAATATAGTTCTGGAAATAAGAGTTCAAAACTTGTATGTTTCCAACATGTTTTTCTCTCTTCCTCTCTACTTCCCTACTTTTTCTTTTACATTCTATACATTTCCATCCAGGAGGTTGTTCTTCTGTGGACTGATGCACTGATTCAGTACATCAGATTCTCCCCTGCACACATCCACCCAAAGTTTCAGCCAACGGGCATCTGTTCATCCTTCATGTGCATGGATTGCACATGTGGAGGCCACAGGGTTAACTGATGAAGTTAAATTAAACAGGAAAAGATAACTCATGCATAAGAGTTCCATTTTCATCTTCTTCTATTACTTTCCTTGCACCAACCTTTCTTCCAGCATCTTTTATATTTATTTAAATATAATCTTCACCTCTGGAGATTTTACCTAACATTTCCTCTGATCCTAGTATCTAATTGCAGCATTATCATGGTGCAACATCTTTGCCATTCAACAAGCCTTAACTTTTTTCATAAGAATAGTTTCACTACATTCAAGCAAGATTTAACTAGATTATTACATGTCCCCAAATGGACACGTGTCATATGGGAACTCTGTTATGAAGTTGCATGGGTAGAAGACAAGCAAAAGTCCAAGAACATGAAACAGGAAAGCCTGATATTTGAATTGCAGAGACCTTAGATTTGGAGTTTGCATTAACTGCATATTCATTCCCAAAGGAAGTAGCAATGAAGGTTCCCCATAATCAAGATGATCTGAAATGAAAATGCTGTCACACGCAAATAGCAGTCCTGTTTGATGGCAAGCACTCTTTGTTACTGAAGCATTCAACATTTTCTTGAAAACTTCATGTGTAACTTCAGATACTACCATTTCTAGCTACTCCTCAGTTTTATTTGCACATTTAGAGCTCAAATTGTTTCACCAGGATTTAATAGTTTTATCCCACTGGTGAACTTGCAAAAATTATGTCTTGAGAGCAAAAACGATTACTAATTAAAGGTGCCTACTAAATTACGATGTTTTGTAGCTACTGTTGTTTTGCCCCTTTATTATTTTTTAAAGTGGAAATTAACACTGTATTTCAAATGTCAAAAATCAATGCATGTAACACCTGATTGCTTGTTTATTAATGAAATGACCAGAGGGTAGAATCACATCAGCAAAAATATGCACACAGTGTTTAAGGAAAGGAACCCTTCTTACTGACCCAAAGAAAATAAGTAAAAAGAAAACAGGAACATTTTTGCTAGGTATTTGAACTTTTCTTTTAACATAACAAGATTTAGGGCCAAAATAGATACTTTAAATGTTTACAAATAGCCGCCACAGGAAACTCATGACATATGGAAAGCATCTTAAATTCTACTCCTTGATGTCAAGTTTTCTTATAAATGTGTATGGGTGTGTGTATATGGGTATATACACACACAAACACGTATACATATATTGAGAACAAATAATAGCTTTGAGAGAATGGTTTTCATTAGGCAATGTGGGGTGGGAGGGGGGGTTGTATGCATCCATGCCTGTACTGTAATCCTATAAAATTGTAAGCAGCAGAGAAGTATCCATACAGGGATCAGAACAGAATGTGTTCCAATCTGTGGTAGAAATTTGTATTATCAACCAACCAACCAACCAACCAACCAACCAACCAAAACCCTTTTCTCTCCCATAATTATTAGCTGCTGTTCAACTAAGATTTGGTGTATGTAGGTTTCAATCTTTTTCTTTCAGGGTTGAATCCTTTTTTCTGTTTTTCTGTCAAACTTCTTCTATTTGCATTGGCCTTGTTTTAATGTTGCACCAAGAAGTAGCCCACTGATTGTTCTACCTTCTTTATCTGAGATGCTTAGTTTTCCCCACTTGAAATGGATCCTCCTCTCCCTTACCCACTTTCCAAGTGTATTTTGGAACTGGAAATATTATCAGAGATATTTCTCCACTTTCAAATGAAGAATAAGACTAAGAGGCTATCTGCACTAATGATTTGTAGTCTGCCTGTAATTGTAAAAAAGATAAATATTGCTTTCAATTGAGCTCAGTCTTTGGCAACTACTGTACATGGACACATCTGCATAGTTTTTTTGGCAGTAATATCAAAGGGGTTTGTAATTGCCTTCTTGCAGGATATATATTTTTTTACTTCCCATTCTAGAGTACAGCCCTAAAATTTCCTGATGGACTCACATAGATACTAACCAGGTCTGACCCTGTTTAACCTTTCAAATCACCCAAGATCAGCTATGTGCTGCTATATGACATTAAAAACCACAAGTGTGGGTAGCCTTGTAACAACATCAGTTTAATGAGTAATTGTAATGCAGATGTCTGTGAGAAATACCACACTTCAATTTCTGCAGCTAAATGTTCTAAATATAAGATGCAAGTATTTTCAAGGAAAGAAATCTGTGGTGGTGATCAAAGTGTTAAATTTCTTTTTGGGGTAGGGTTTAGCTGATCTTTTGTTTTTTTTGCATTAGTCTGAGGGCACAAGAATCAGCTGTATATTATGTATACAATATAGTATGTAGTTGGATCCCCAAATTGGGCATGGCATGAACACGTGTTTAAGAAAGTTACTGAGAGCTGTTACAGTTAAAAATAGCTGTATGAGCTAATTTTACTTGTCACATGCCAAGTTTAAACCATTACATTCTCCATAGATTCTTCTTATCTGGGAGAAGTATACTGCTGCATTAATTCCATGCTTGAGGCTCTTTTTTTCTTTTAAATGGAATGGCTAAATTAAGGATAGTTAAACGTTTAAAAATACTAAAGTATAACTGCTACATCATTTCAACAAGTGACAGTTTCACAATAAAACAAAATCTGGCAATTTCATATTATCCAGTTCCTACATGGTTCTACCACTTCAGAATATAAATATTGACTTGAGGCAATGAACGGAATGGTCTTGTGTTCATTTCCAAAAATTGTTTCTTAAAATTTAACAAAAACGTTGATCCCCTCTCCCATAATGCATCCAAAATCTTTCCTTTCAGAGACAAAGCAGTTCTGATTTTGGAAATGAGGGCATAAAAGCTAGTTTCTTTTACAAAAATAATTTTAAAAGTTCCTGTTGCTGCAGTAGTTTTTATGAGGCATTAGGCATGAATACCATAAAGAACAGTAGAACTGTTTACAGAAAAGACAGCTAACACATGGGTTAATGAAGACTATTCATATCTCTTCTCTTCTCTCCTCTGATAATGAAATACGAAGGTCTGTCATTATGTCCCTTATTTGGGGAATGTGCTTGGCCAATCTAACTTGCAAATGTAGGCCAGTCTAACTTGTGAGCTCATATATGTTACACATCTTCCATAAAATGCAGTTCATCAGAAGGTATGAAGTTGCAATCACACATTCCTATATGATCAGGATATTTCAGATCACTGCTTTCTACCACATCAGTTAATTAGGTATGTAATGAGTCCACCAACTATACCATTTCCTATAACATAACAGATCTTGACTGTGTAGGTGGTAGAATAATCTCCAAGGTATAAATTTTAGGCCCATCCTTCAGTTTCCCTCATTTTGTAAATATACACTGCACACAACCAAATACTTATGATAAAATGAAACTAACTTCATTACCAAGCAAAGGAACAATAATAATTTGAAACAAGATGATAATATCAGGGTGACCTCAATTTACTTTGCTAGGAGGTGCAATTTTACAGAGTTGCTTCACCAGCACTGCAGCTGATATGAACCATTAAGATTTAACCAACCCATGCAGAACATTGGAAATCTAGTAGCATTGTGAATTAACCAAGGCAGAAAATTAACCGGCAGCTTCTTCATTCCGTAGCCTGCTTCTAAGACAATAAGAGCAGACAGAAAATCACATGTTTATGATGGTGGTTTTTTTCATCTGAAAAACTTAACACAACGGTTTACTCTGCTGTTCAATGAAGCTTCCGTTTAATGCAAAATGGCTTATATAGGAAATTCAAAAAACAAACAGAATTTTTGGAAACACAGAAAGTGGAGCTGATAGAATATATATATGTGTGTGTGTGTGTGTGTGTGTACGTGTGTGTGTACACACGCACACACAGACAGACAGACATACACCCACACCCACACCCACACCCTCCTTGTTTGCATCAAGGGAGAGAAAAAGACACATCCAAAATGACAGGGAGAAGCAGTCAGAAGGGATTAGAAAGCAGAATATTCCAGCCTGCCTCTTGCTGTTGCCATAGTAGGTTGCTTAAAAGGCAAGAATGTTCTAAAAACAGATGGCAGCAGATCTCTCCTCCGGCACTGAGCTCTGACCTGGTTTCTCATTCAAGGATGAAGAGCTTTATACGCTTTAGCCCGTTACTCCTCTGAAGTAAAGTGGGGAACCGGTGTCCTTCAAAGGCTTTAGGAATCTTTTAGCTCCCTGCCCTGATGAGCTAAAACGCACTTAAGTATTCCAGTGCAACCTCATATGCAAATTTATATTGTTCCTGAAAGAGAGAGAAAAAGGACACAATGATAAATCAATGATAAATCAAGAGAATGTTCAGGTGACTCATCCTTTCAATCTGCTCTACTTCAACATGCAGGTTTAGACTCCCAAACCCACCAAAATCCCACACACAGATGCATACATAAGTTAAAGGGTTCCAAATTTGCACTCAATGCTCCATGTGACCCCTGGGATATTATTGTTCCCTTTCATCAAATTGCTAAGCTAGAAGAATATCGGCAATTTTAGGAGTAGCAATTTAGAGTATGGCACATAATTGGAATTTCTTTGACCACTCACATCAGCTAAATTCATTGTTTTAAAAAAAATGAAATACAAAAAGAGATAGAAATACAACACACACACACACACACACACACAGACAAATACTGTATATATGGGCCTCCTGTAAAACCTGTACCTTCCTTGCTCTTCTGAAGGTGGAGAGTTAGAGGGCCAAATTTAATTCCCAAGAGAGAATTTTTAATAACTTGAGAGTGATGTAGGAGAAGACCTTTTCCCATGTACCTGATAAACAACTTTCTGTAAAAGTAGAGGCATCTTCAAAAGAGCTTCTCCTGCAGATTCTACTATATGGAAATTTTCACCATGTCTGGACAACTTAGTGTCTGGAGAGGTAGTCTTTCCTTGACCTTATGTTGTCCTTGGATTCTCAGTTGATGGTAATATCTGTCCACTGTGCCACCAGTGACCTTTCCATAACTGACTGATAACAGTTATCCACATCTTAATTACATCACATTTCAAGTAAAATATCTGAAAGCTTCCATTATTCCAAAATACAGTGGCTAACCTAGATCCTATGATAGTAACATAAAAAGTCCTGCATTTGCCACTAATATTTTTTCAGGGTCAGTTCTAAAGAATTATTTAAACTTTAAAGCTCTGAGTTACTTATAGTCTCCCTATATAAAGCCCCTTAACTCTTTATAAATCTATCCAGTTATTATGATTTGCTGTAGGGGCTAGTTTGAAAAAAATTGACACTTGCAGAAATCTGCTTCTCAGGCATACAGGAAAGGACTTTTTTTTATAACACTGTCAAATAAGGGAATATATTTCTTCCCCAGGACTACAACTGTCTTTTTAGAAAAGGTATACATCATATCATCCGTATTTTTATATTATTTTAAAGTTATATTATTTAAATAATGAATATTCTATATTTTATTCTTCCAATATGGTTAAAATTAGCTGTTTTGTTTTTCAGTTTTGCTTCTTTTCCCCCCCTTGAATAGACAGGTAGGCAGTATTAAGGTTATTAATGAAATAAATACAGCCCATACTACTGTATACATGTCCAGACTACTGGACATGTATATAGTAGTCTTCTCTCAGATTGTAGAATATATTATTTAAATTCTCTCTCAAAAAACAAACACACACCACCCTCAAAGATGTATGTGTCTGTGGGGTGGGGCGGCGTCTGCTGTGCAGGTATATGCCCACAGACACAAGTTATCTCACATCATTCTCTCTGTACTGGAGAGATTAACATCAAAAGACACATGTAGAACTCTGAAGGTCTCTCTTTTAGGGTTGCACATAGAGTTTGAAAACAATTCTGAATAGGGTTTCACAGCCTTTGTGTAAGCAGACTGTGAATCTTTCAAAGCAATTCTTAAAGCAGCCACACCTTTCATTCAGACTCACCTAGAAGCTTGAAAAGCTTTACTGAATAGCAGAGAAGTGCTCTGCTTGTACAAGGTAAAGCAGCCTTCTTCTGAATCATTCTCAAAGTGTGCAAAGCCCCACCTTGTTTAAGGGTTTTACGAATGCTGAATTGCAACAGATTTCATTTTAATAGGCTTTATTCACTATGGATAGATGTTGTTTGCCTGCCTTTCAAAACAAAAATAATTGAAATGTATTTTAAAGGAAGCAGTCCTTAGCAGGCTTTTAAGTACGTAGCTGCAATTTCTACCGTTATCTGAATAATATATCAAATCCAAAATGGATGTTTAGAAACCAAAAAGGGAATGTGAATATTTTATTTCAAGGAACAGGAAGCTGTCAGCCTATTATGCTTACCAATGACTCCACCATGTTGGACTTGTTGTTCCGTAAGGTTTTCACTATGTGAAATACATCAATGATATTCTGCTGCTGGATCATTTCACAAACACTACATATGGCACAAAAGGTGCCACTGCGGCCACCGCCATTCCTAGCACAAACAGTAAGAGTTGGTTTAAGAAATTACACATGTTCATAACAGAAGAGTACTTCAAGGGGATCTAAGAGATCCACCCAAATGCAAGACTAACAATTATATATGTAGCCATACATATAATTTACTTGCATGAATATTTTGCATACAAATAGCTAAATGACATTGAGATTCAGGACAGAAAGTTAATAAGAACAGGTCATCGCCAATATTTGACATCCTTGGATAGCTGAAACTTTCACTTTCTTTTTCCAGCTGTACATTCCAAGCAGCATGCGTGCATGCTGGATTTAGCCCCCGTTCAAATTTCTCACAGTGATTTGGAGTACTGAGGGAAATACTAAACCCAGCAATTTGACATGCTAATACTGCCACCACAATATACTCTAATACCTATAAATGGAGAAGGGGATCAGTCTAGAATGACCCCTGAACCAGAGTCATTGGGAGTTGGGCTTAATGATAAACAAACACATAAACAAGGTGTTGATTTCTAGCTCTACAATACTATAATGCTGTATTGTGTAGACATTTGGATCTCTAGGACTTCTTTAATTACACGTATCAAATAGAGCAGGGTAATCCACCAAAGTAACCAACTTCTCCTTCTTTTCAGACAGGCAATCCTTCTTTAGTACAGAAAACCAGGATGCAGAAATACTTACAGGCAATGGACCACGGTCCGTCCATCTCGCCCATCATATTGCTCCTGCCACTTTTCCAACCGCCTGACCACCTTCAGGAGAGAGCGCTTGGAAGGAGGAGTGTCTCTATATGCTGGCCAGCCAATATACTGCAAGTGCTGAACAATACGGTATCCATCTTGTGGCTAGAGAAAAGAGTGCAGATTAATTGAATTGTGAAAAGGAATGTATGGAAACTTCTATATACCCTCAGAAGACCATGTGTTAGATCCTAAGAACTGCGAAGGAAGATTCCTCGTTCATTTCGGCTGCAGGAGCTGGGGAATATTTTCAGAAGTGTTTATTCCAGCTGGCCCTTTAATGAACATATAAATTGGAACATCCCTAAGTTATATCATAAGAATTAAGGAAACACTTTTCCTGCTTCAGAGTGGAGACTGGTGATGCCATGTTAAGACAGCCTTTTGTAATTGTCATCTGGAAATATAAGTCTACCACACAGACACAGTTACTATTAACTAGCAGAACCTGTAAGTTTTCTCCTGAATGCCATGAGCAAATTTGGGGGCAATCTCAGCTCTAGCATAAAAAACTAAATTTGATTTAAACAAAAAAAAAAAAAGGAAAGAGAAATCACCTTTTTAATTAACAAACAATAATGGTATTCATTTCATTACTTCAAAAGAATGAATATCAAGGTCATATTTAGCATTCATACTGCAAGGTTTTTCTAAAAGCTTTATAA